CTACGTGGAAGACTTAATACGAAACATCCTAAAGACACTTGAACCTAGAGTGCTCTGATACCAACTGTGATACCCCTTGGATCCGAGACACAGGTTGATCAGGCCCAGGCCCAAACCCGAGGAAAATATCAAACAATTAATACGTAATGAACACAGATGACAAAATGAATTAAGAAATAATAGTTTAAGCTGAAAGAAACTAAAAATAAAATCCTCAAATAATGAAGATTAAATAATCCAACTCCAAAACCTCCAAGGGTATAACTCGAGAATCCATCTCTAGTAGACCCCTAAAAATAATCCAAACATTAATAAAAATGACTGATAAGACATCCAGAAGTACGCTATGAAGAGAAGTCCTACGTCGTCGGTAGAGTGAATAGAAACCTCTGCTCAGCATGAACACGTCTAAGTCTAGAACTGTCGTGTACCTGAAAAATAGAAGTGGGTCAGGCCCACGCGCAAGTTCTATACTACTATAATCCAAACAGAGGCCTGACACGCATGTACACCCTAAACAATTCAACAATAGCTAATAGTCCGTAAATGTATATATAGTCACACTAAAGGACTCTTACTGGACTATAGGCCGGTCTCAACCTGAATAGAGGTAACATGCTAAAACGCACATGAAATGAGCATGTGTACCTAAACCTAAACAGGGTACACCTCTAACCATCGTATCCAGCTATGCACCCCAATGCATATATGCTCCCTAACCGTCGATCCTGAAACTCAAGCTCATATCGAGGTACCATAACAATATATTTAAAATCCATCCTAAATCCTAATAGTGCCGCTCAACTAGTTGTTACTATGACACCCCAGTCAATAAGACTTAACTTTTAGTTAATCCAATTCCTAATCCAGAGTAGGTAGGTTTTGGAATTTTGAAACCAAACCGTCCCTAGTATACCACCGTCCCATACCAGTGTATACTATCCAATCATCCAACAGTTGATAATATCAACAATTTAAGTAAACATCAATTAAATACATATTTCCATCACTGATACTAACAGGCATAGTGTAAGCATCAATAAACAGAATCAGCTATATACATAAACAGGTTCAGTTTTATATCCAACGCTGATACTAACAGACATAATGTAAGCATCAAGAAATATAGTCACTGTATATATACAAACCTACTCAGTTTAAGTTGTTTCATAAAATCAGATATAATGATAAGATTATTTCAAATTATCATTCAATACTCAGCAGTTGATATTACAGACATTTAAAGTAACCATCAACAAAGTCCATTCCTCCAGCAGTTGATACTAATAGTATTAATGCAAGTATCAAGATAGAATTACAGTATGTATATATACATGCTTAATCCATGGTATTTCCCAGAATCCAGTAGTGCTAAGTTGTCTGGATCTTAATATTATTGAACACTAACTCTTCCAAAACAGATGTAATTCAGCAGCTGATCATGATACATGGTGAAACATGTTCCAGTTATATTATTCATTCTAGAAAAATTACTAACATAACTGATTAAGCAATTTAAATCTTCTAGCTCTAAGCAGTGCATTAATTTGTTTAAACTATCCACTGTCTAAGCTACCTAGGTATTTAGTTTATTAATACACCTCTTGGAACCTTAACACAGCCATAAGCCTCATTTAAACCTTCCACACTCAGACCTAAACTCATCCAAAAATCCCATAAATCACTCTGCTACATGAAAAACTTACAGAGAACGAAAAGAAAACAAAATTCACCAAAGGAGACGTCTCCCAAAATATGGAGCCGCCTCCTTTAGACCTTGGAGCCAGCTCCACATTTTGGGAGCCGCCTCTAAACACAAAGGAGCCGGCTCTCTCTAAGGGAGAGACGGCTCTCTCCTTCAGTGCTTCGTCTTTTCATATTCCCTCTTCTTCAGACACCTTCTACAACTACTCTACCCTATGCTATGGTTTCCAGAAGTCTTAATCTCAATCCTAGTAGGTTCCCAGTCCATGTTTAAGTCTTTAATACAACCCATACATAAGTTTAAACAGAGAATTAAACAAGCAAAAATCACGTGATAACAGTTTAATCAGGCATGCAACCATACAGTTTTAATTCAAGTTCTAGCATAAACAGATAACGTTTTAGTAATTCAATCAACCCTAGAATTATATAGGAATGCAAAGAACACGAAGCCTAAGTGAGAGAGTAAGGATAGAACTTGCCTTACACCGACGTGCGTCTATATTTTCCGACGAATCCTTTGTTAATTCTCAGTTTTCCTTCCCAGCCTTCTCCAAACTTTCTGTGTCTTACTATGGCGTAATATTGTTCTAAAACCCTAGGCAGACATCTTAGACGAGTATTTATAGGACATACTAGCCCAAGGCTCAGTTAAACCCTAAACGAATTACTCGGCCCATAGCACAATCTAGGTTAAACTATGTCGGCTACCTATGTAAACTGTAAACCTAAAATATGCTACCAATCCTATAGTCACGTTAAAACCTATGAAATTTAATTAAATAAATTCATACCATTTTATCAAAAATTAAAAACAACTAATTAAAACAAACACAAGTAAACAACAATAAAGTAATTAATACAACTAAATCAAAAATGTAAAATAATTAAATTAAACAGTTACCACTAAATAAGTAAATGCAATTAAATCACAAAAAGGAAAACAATTAAATAATTAACCACAATTAAAGCAATAAAATTAATACATATACACTTCAACAATTAAAAATGCAATTTAAACAATAAAAACAATAAATTAAAATACCAAGACTATCCTTTTGAAATTAGGGGTATTACATTCGTGTTGCTTCATTGTGAAAAGGCTTGAAACATCCTTGGTAGGGTGCTTATTCCCATAGTACTGGCTTATGAACTTGTCACACAAGTCTTGGAAACTAGCAATTAAACCTTGAGCTAGATTCTTGAACCAATTAAGGGCTGGCCCTACCAAACTCGTAGGGAAGCATTTGCACATCAAAGGATCATTGTTCGTGTTCAGAGCCATTTTTAACTGAATGTGATAGATGTGATCGATCGGGTTTACTGTTCCATCAAACAGAATAAAAACCAGCATGGAAAACTTTCTCAGATTTGAAGCGTTCAGGATTTCGGCAGTGAATGGAGATGCAACCGTTCTTGCGGATGAACGGAGTGCTTCATTCTCCCTTGAGAACTGTGATGGAACTCTACGGTCTTCGGACCTCCTTTCTAAACTCCTGTAATCAAATGTTGCCATTGAAGGCTGATAGGGTGGATCAAGCGATCTGTCGTCCACAAACTCACTCTGTCAAGGTGATGCAGCCTTATGATGGCCAAACTCCACAGGCTCATCGCACCTCAGTCGTCCCTGGCCTAAATCATACGATGCTGCTTCCTCTCGCATGATCTGCTCGTGATGTGGATCCAAATGAATAGATCCCTTTAGATCCTCCACCTGGCAGACACTTAAAGGCAAATCACCTACCAAAATTTCCTCTCAATAAGGATCCACGCGATTATTAACTTTTGGATCACCTTGATGAACAGCACTGAACGGCAAAACTCCTTCTCCTACCGGAGGCGGCCTTGGAATAGCAGGAGCCTCACGGGGTTCCATTCCAGCTCACAATTATACGTTCTCTCTTCTTAGGGCTTCGATCATGTTCATCAACTTATCGAGCTTCGACTGCTGGCCGTTCTCCAATTGATTAGAGCTCTCACCTCCGTTCATCATTCCCGATCGAAGCAAAGTCATTAACTGCAAATTTCCAATCAGATCTGAGTTTTGCTAACGCGATCGCGCTAGATCTAGACTCATATTAGCTAAATTCCGATCTTTCAAGACCAGCTTCGAGCTTCTTCCACCATAAATTCGTCAAATCGAGCTTTGCCAAACAAAACACAACCGTGTTGATCGTCTGAACAAACACAAATCAAATCTGCATAGATTGAACGTAAATTTCTCACAATCAACCAGAATCGGAATTCAGCTAAGCAGACAATGACTTTGCCGATCTTCATTCAGCTTCTTCGTCATGAATCATTTTCGATTGAATCACTCTTGACCGATCATCAACCAATCCTCATCGGTTTCCACAAACGGCGCCATTGAAGATGCAAGAAATTTCCCCCAATCTTGAAAGTATGATCTTACACTTCAAAAATATTTTCCAACCCTCATTTTCCTCTATTTTCAGCCTATTTATAGACTGTTACATGCCTTTTAGAAGCTTCTTAACCAATTCACTGTGTTGGGCTCAAGTCCGGGCTCCTCTGGCTATGGGCTTGATCACTTTCAGCAGGCCTTCGGCTCGGTTCTTCCATCTTGCGCCTGTCCTGCGAGAAATTGGTTCTGTCCAAGATGATTTACATGACTCGTTTCTCTCTGCATGGGTCGTACCCGGCCCGCGCCGTCCTCAGTATCCTCAGTGAATCAATTGGGTTACCTTTCGAAAAAAAATTAATATTGCAGTATTAATAAACATTATTATTGTTATTTTATATTCCCTTTTTTAAACCAAAATTTTTAAAAATAAGCGCGAAAACTCAGAAACCCTATCCCACGAGAAAACTAATTCCGTTAATTTAGTAGAATATGATATATTGGGGTTCAATTTATTTTATTTTTATTCGTTTTATTTTCATGTAAACCCTACAGATTTATGAAACTGCAACTCTATATACAAGTGTCCGTGTATTGCGGAAAAGGGTTTCGGCACTAGCCGTCAAAGTCTTGGCTCAAAGAAACAAGAACGACGGAGAAACCATAGGAAAGGCTATGAAGATAGAGAAAAAAAGGTAAATCTTTACCCTTCCTTACACATGATCTCATAGTAGACATACTCTCACGATTACCGGTGGAGTCTCTTGTACGTTTTAAGTGTGTATCAAAGTCTTGGCGCGCTTTATTCACGGATTCATGCTTTGTTAAGATGCACCTCAACCGATCTCACAAGCGTAAACTTGTTTTTTTATGTAAAACTGTTTCATGCCGTTCTTCAACCACACGACTTGTAGTATTGTCCTATGTCAACGATATGAAGAAAGCAATTCACATTGATTCTCCAATTCCGTTCTCTTCCTCATTGTTTGATAATTCGATCAGTCTCTATGGTTCTTGTGATGGCTTGATATTATGTGTAACTTATCCACCCCGTATTCTTCTTCTATTGAATCCTTCAACCAGAGAGCAAATTACATTACCACACTCACCATTCCACGACACTACATATCATGTTTCATATGGATTTGGGTATAATGCGTCCACTGATGACTACAACATTGTGGCAATCTCATGCACTTATGCATACATAATAGTATCTGTATGTGTATATACACAAAAAACAAATTCTTGGAGAATCATTCGAGATTCCCCTCTTAGTATGGTGTCAGATGCTCCGGGGACACTTTTCAATGGAGTTCTCCACTGGTTTGCATATGAAAATATGTCTACGGTAATTGCTTTTCATTTATGGGAGGAGAAATTTCAAAATTTTCCCCTACCTTGTTTTGAAGCACCATCTATACCTCGCTTCATTGGAGTTCTCAGAGGATGTCTTTGTATCACGGTGGGTGAACCAGATACGAATTCCACTGAATTTTGGGTGATGAAGGAATACGGCAAGAGAGAGTCCTGGACCAAAGTTGCAACATGTCCACATTATCTAACGAAGCCTTTGAATTTCACAAACAATGATGAAATTCAGTTTCTGATGGATGAGACTACTCCTTTACGTTCATACAACCTAAAAAATAATAAATATGGGTCTCGAATGATTCCCTATGCTTATGGAAGTCTTGAGTTACTTCAATATCTTGAAGCAGAGATTTGTCTGGAGAGCATTGTTTCACCCAATCGTCATTGTTTCACCCCAATCGTCATAGATGATTAATTTAAAGGCAGTATCAAGGACAAGAGAAGGGCGAGAACAAGAGACAATAAGGTGAAAATAATTAATCATGTTTTGGCTAATAATTTCTTCATTAGTTTCATATACTAGGCAGGTCTTATTGTCAAGATGAATATTCCATGATTCAGCGTCTTCCCTGTTTGATCTGTTTGAGTGGTTCTGCTTATAAGTAATATGATATTTATAATTCATTAATGTGATGCGTCTCATTTGGTTCTATTTGTAATGATAAATGACCTACTTAACACAGGGCCGTTTGGCATCCACTGCTTTTACTTTTTTACTTTGACTTGAAGCATAAGCAGTATTTCTGCTTTAGAGTGTGCTCAACACTATTTCGAAACTTGTTTCATAACCTACTTAACTAAGTTGTTAGAGTATTGCTTTCATATGGCGAGAGTCATTGGTTCAAATTCAAAAAATATTTTCCCTATTTCAAGTAATATTTTTTTTTATTAATTTTTTTTTAATTATGTTTGTCTAAGGTCTAAGTCCAGGTTTCTCTTTTTTTTCGCACTAGAAGAGTTCCTCTTCTCTGCATTTATGTTTCAGAGGTTACTAAAATAAGGACTAGTATATATCCTTGGTAAGAGAATATTATTGAATTCTTATTAAGTTAGTTTGCTGAAATAGAATTCACTAAGTTTTGGCTGTAATTGTTATTGTTAATGTAATTGTTTTTGTACAACTCTTTAGGTGCCTTAGAAGTGGTTATATTAGGGCTCTTCGGTGTTTGGAGGTGAAAAGATTTCGAATTCACAGTATTTCAACTCTATTATTATGTTATTTACATTAATTTGTTGTCGTTATAGCGTCTTAACATCAGCAGCCCCAATTTTTCTCTCTCCCGGCAGCTCATTCTCTGGCAGCAAAACATAGCATGTTGATCTATGAAGGTGTTAAACCATTCCCATATTATCTAAAGGGCGAGGGCAAATATATGCATATATCTACATGTATACATCAATATTTTCTATATAAATTCTGCTCTTTTTCCCTCTAAAGAAAGGGGGAAAAAATTTGTTGCACATATTTATTTCGATTTCTTTCCCATGAAATTGAAATTTTAAGTTTGTAATTGACAAACTCCTGTTGCATCTTTTTATTTTCTATTCAATGCATCATGCCAGTGTTGAACCCTTTTTTATGGAGTATTATTATTTTAATTCTATGTCCAACGGAATTTTAAGAAAAATCATATATATGATGTTCGGATTGCTCTTCACATGGGTGGAGATTATGAAACATCATAAATTCATACAAAAGCTTACTAGTGTTATGTTTCCAATAAAAGATTTTTTAAAGAATCAAAATAGAAAACAGTTTGAAAATCTGTTTGGTTGCAAAAACTATAAAATAATTTTCAAAAAAAAAAAAAAATCATAATATACTTGGTTATATCCACTAAAAATAGTATTTTGAACTAAAAAATAAAAAATATTGTAAATCGCTACAATAAATTTTTACATATATATATAAAAAAAAAAAAAAAGGGGGTAATTTACACAGACCTCCCCTATGGTTTGCAATAATTACACGGACTTCTCCTGTGGTTTAGGAATTTATACGGACCTTCCTTAAAAATGAAACTAACCTACATGGACCTCACTTCCTTGTGACGGACTGTTAAATGCACTAACTCACCTATCTAATTTACTTAAATGCCCTTATATTGTTTTAGTAAATTAGTAAAGTACCCATCTATAGTATATATTACATACCTGAATTATAATATATATTACAAATGTCCTCGGTGGAGATGGCAGTGAGAGGTTGAATGGAGGCGCATCCGACGTGCTGTTTAAAGTCATCGAAGTCGTTGATGATGTGGTCGGATTGGGCTTGGGTCCAGTTGATGGCGGGGTGGCCGGATTTAGGTGTTGTGGATGATGAGCATGGCAGAAGCATTAGACTCGTTACAGTAGCGATCCAGAAAGCTAAGGAGGACACCAACCATTAGGTTGCCGTCCAAGAGATACCAGGTCGTCGCCGGAGACTTGAAGGAGAACAAGGTAGTAACATGCGTGATCTAAGATATAAGGCCTAGTTTGGTATGATGGAATGGGGGTGGAATGGAATGACCATTCCACTTTCTCATTCCTTTCTCTTGTTTAGTGTGTCACTTTAAAAGTGGAATGGCCATTCCCATGGAATGCTCATTCTAGCTTTTAGATGGAATGACCATTCCTTTTTTGAACCTATGGAATGGTTATTCCATTCCCACTAAATTAAAGTAATAAAATGCAAAGACCAAAAAAACCCATATGCATTCTTCGCACTTTCTCTCTCTACTCTCTGTACACCCTCTCTCTCTCCTCTTTCTCTCTTCATATCTGTACACCCTTTCTCTCTCTCTCTCTCCTCTTTCTCTCTTCACACTTCATTGTATACCATGGAATGTATATATATATATATATCGCTCTTTATTTGCCTTTTTGGCTCTACAATTTGTTCTCTCTTTCTTTATGGATTTTTTTTTGTTCGACTCTACCCATTGATTCTCTTGCAGATATATATATATATATATATATATATATATATATATATATATATATAAACATACACTTTGTTTATCAATTTAAATATACACACACGTGTATATATATATATAAACACTCCTATATCATCCCCCACCAACTGTCCCATACCATTTTTAGTCAATAGCTCAAGCATCTATTGGTATAATTTAGTTTTATTATATGATAAGAATATGTTTTAATATAGTAACTGATATATTATAAGAATATGTTTTAATATAATTGATATATTGCAAGTAAGGAAATTTTGAAGAAATTAATTTATAAATCATTCCATTCTAGTTTTTTATTTGATCTAACCAAACAGTGGAATGAGAATGGTTATTCCATTCTCTGTTTGTATCCAAACAGTGGAATGAGAATGATCATTCCATTCTTATATCATTCCCATTCCATTTCCACTTGCATTCCATTCCTGCCTCTTTCCATTCCTGCGCACCAAACTAAGCCTAAGGGTCGTTGCTAAATGAGAGATCCTCACCTGAGAATTTTAGAGACCCAAATGGGAAAAGGTTTAGAACAATGACCAACCGACCTGTGAATTTTAGTCCAGATCAATCACTGGAATGTCATTGAAGACCCTAATCCGGTGACTTATAGTACATACCCAACCCCTAAATTGACACTTGAATTTTAACATCATTGCTCGAAACTGCTAGCTAATTTCATAAGAGACCAAGACAAGGTGGAGCAAAAGTCGTTGAAGAACAAAGGAATAGGAGTAGACAACTAGTGATATACACACCGTAATTTGGTATCGGCTTCGCCAGAATCAATAGTGGAATCAGCCGTCTTTAATGCAACTCTGGTCAAAATGGGTCTTCGTTGGGTTAGTATGAAGCTCTGTATCTTTGCCTGTTTTGTAGATGTGAGTTTCTATGATTTGGTTTTTGGGTCTCACATGTTTTTCACGAAAGAATCTTCTCCGACTATTTAGGTAGATGAATCACAGTGCTTCTCCGGTCGGTTCATCACTAGCCAAAGCTTTCTAACTATTTAGGTAGATGAATCACAGTGCTACAAGGTTATATATATATATATATATATATATATATATATATATATATATATATATATATATATAATGGTAGGGACAAGGGTATTATGGGAATTTTAATAAATTTTGTACATGATGTCAGCACATTTTGTCCTTGACTGACGTTAACTCTAACAGAAGGGAGGTCCGTGTAGGATATTTTTATTTTTAAGGGAGGCCCGAGTAAATTTCCAAACTACATGAGAAGTCCGTGTAATTTTGGCAAACCATAGGGGAGGTCCATATAAATTATCCAAAAAAATAAAAATATTTAATTTTTCCCCTAAATCTACTAATGCTATATTTATTCATAAGTGGGGCATTACTTTTATGCAATAAATTTTCTACAAAAGTTTGATTACACAATTAAATTTTGTTGGTTTTATTAGGAAATTTAGAAAGAAAAGATTAAATTGATTTATATTTATCAAAAATAAATGAATGAGATTACTTGTATCGATCTATGTTTTAAAAATTGACATATAATTAACTTGCAATCTTTTCTTATTTCATTTCAAATTTTCATGAATCACTTATATATATATATATATACCTTCCTCTTCCAACACATACCATCCATCTAATAATATTATTCCAAGAGACCTTTAACACAACATTATTACCCTGAACAAAAACAAACATATCATACAAATTAAGTACCATTCACCATTTTTCTTAAAATTCCTCTTCCACCACATACATGACCTAATCGATGTGCCCGGATCGTGACCTAATAAGCTGAAATAGAAAGACCATTTTGGGGTGAAGGTAAGCAAGAAAACACACAAATAACTCATTTCGCTGTTATGCCTATAAATAATTCTTTTGCTTGATTCTGTTCAAGCAAAACTCACAAACAAAACCTAAAACTCTATTCTCTGCTCAATAATCCATTTCTCTGTTCCACTAGATGAACTTCAAATAAAAACAAATATAATTGTTTGAGATCGTCATAAGAGGAAGGTGACTTTTAGAAAATTTCTTCTATTTTTGAAACAATTTTTCTGATTTTTATTTATCAGAAAACTGTTTTCAAAGTTAAAACCAAGTAGGCCTTATTTTTAGAGAACAATCTTTAAAGTTCTCAGCAAACTATTTTCTGATTTTTGAGTTTCTAAGAACTATTTTTAGAGTTACAAACCAAGCATGCTCTAAGTTTCTATCAATTTTCACTTACCCTCCACCACCACAATTGGCAGCCACCGCAACACCACCAACACCACAATCGGCAGAGCCAACAATACCATCCCCATTTTCGTAACAACCCCCCGGCCATGTCAACAGCCCCCTACAAGTAGACTTATCAACGGGTCGGATTCATATCGGATCGGATCTGACCGAATCCGATCTGAATCCCAAAAGCATTTTACAAGATCCGATCCGATCCGATCCAATAATTCGACAAATTA